TTGATTCAGTGACTGGGATAATTGGGATGGGAGTGTCGGAGACAGTGCAGTTGGCACAGGACAGAGCGGAGTTTAGGGCTGTTGTACAAAGGGTCGCTACAAGCGACTCGACGGCACATAACAACAACAACAACCACCTTTCCCACATGTCTACAAATTAAATCCTTTTCCGCTCTTTGAAGTGTTGAAAGGTGGTGTTGAAGTCTGTTGGTCAAATGCCGCCTTTGCTACTGCCATATGCACGTATAACTCCTATAATTATTTATCCATAAGTCAAGGTCCTAGGTGTGCACAGTGTGCTCTGAATGTGAAGGTTGATGGCCAAGGCCAGCCTTTGATGCTGAGGAAGAAACGTCTAGATCTACCTCTGTCAGGTTTATAGTCAAGAGAATCCCGTGTTACTTTGTAATACATAAGATGATGAGAGTTGAATTTGACACCATGGAAGGTGATGTGGTATTTGGGGTTTTACTGTATTTGCATATTTGTATGAATAGGATTGTTTGCATTTTGGTTCTGGCTCATTGACCCTCTGCTGGGTTTCTGAGGTTCAGGAGGGGATAGTGTGTCTTTTCTCTTGAAGAGCAGCTGGTGAATTTGAACTGGATTCTGTTAGCAGTCTGGTACGGCTAACATTGAGTAGAATGGGAATCCCAGAAAACTTAACTGTGCTTCATGCAAAACTTAGACCAGGAAACTGTCACCTGAACAGAATAAGAAGTTAAGGTTCCAATCCTTGGGGAAATGACATCATGCTGAGAGACGTGGAAGGTTAGAGAAGAAAAGATGGATTGATACAGTGACTTTTAACAGTGGGCTTGGAGCATGTCTTGGATTGTGAGAATGGTGTTGGATAGGGCAAGGGTTAGATCTATTGTTCATAGAATTGCTGTAAATCACAGAGAGAGCTCTCTTGGCCTAGTGGATAGAAAGTTATGCTACTAAGCCAAGGGTGGGTGATTTTAATCTGTGGCTCTCAGGCCTGGTTTTCATTGGTTTTGGTTGGTCAAACATTGTTCTATCAATTTGCTGTACAGAGGTAACTCGTGAACACTGTGATGCTAACACTGTGACACTAATGTGTCAAATGCGATAATGGTCACCCATGGTGGACAGTGTTTGGTGGCGCTCCCAGATTAAAACAGGCTTGGAAGCAGAAGTGGCATCTACTTCTTAGCTTGCTTCCAGAAACTCTGTGAACTTACAGAAACGATGAAAGTTTTACAGGTGATCAGGTGTTTTGTTCATAGGGTCGCTATGAGTTGTCTACGCCTTGTCAGTACTTAACAACACAACAACATGCTTAAAATCAGGAAATGTTTGCTTCAGGGTTATATCCTTTCTCTGTATCTATTCAGTCTGTGCTAGGCAAATCCTGAGAGAAGCTGGATAAGTGCTCCAGTTTGGTGTGTTTTGTTTTTTGTTTGTTTTTTTTTGAGGGCTAGGGACTGTCATTGTTACATGCCCTACATGTGACCAGATGTATGTTTGAAGTAATCTAAGCTGTGTATGACGAGGGTATGAAGAGGAAGTTAGAAAGAAAACAGGAGCTTTGGATACTTGACGTACTCATTTTCGTTTGCCTTATCTGAGAAAAATGCATCTGGGGAACAGTTTTTAAACATCTCTTCCTCATATTGACCTACATATATTCATATGCCTCATCTGAGAAAAAGTGCAGCCAGAGTGCTCTTTGGAGGCAGAGAGGACAAAGCTTCAGAGATGAAGACCCTCTCCCGGATGGATTGACACAGTGACTGCAGCACTGGGCTCATCGAGTGTGTTAGTGATGGTGAGGATGGCACAAGGTAATGCAGGGTTCAGATCTATTAATGCTAGAGTTTCTGTGAGTCCTGCTCAACTCTTTTCGCCTAACAGCATAATAGCACCTAAGAGATACAGGAGTCGCCTGGGAAGAGTGGGACTGAATAGGCATGCTAATGGTCTCTCTTCTTTCAAACAGGGCACTGTTGCTCAGTGAAGATGAAGAAGATACCAAGAGAGTTGTCCGAAGTGCTAAGGATAAGAGGTGAGGCAGATGGTTTTAAAATTGTGAGGATGTTGTGGATAAGTTGGATTTTAGAATGGCTTGGACCATTATGTTCCAGTGCTTTTTGAAGAATGACAGGGCATGACCTTTGTTTGTTGGGCTTCCAATTCAGGTTTGAAGAGCTGACTAACCTTATCCGGACCATTCGAAATGCCATGAAGATTCGAGATGTCACCAAGTGCCTAGAAGAGTTTGAGCTTCTGGGGAAAGCGTATGGAAAAGCCAAGAGCATTGTGGACAAGGAAGGTGTCCCCCGGTTCTACATTCGGATCCTGGCCGACTTGGAGGACTATCTAAATGAGGTACAGTGTTAGTGGGTAAGAGGTCAGGGTGGGGGAAATGAGTCTAGGCCTATTTTTGTTGTGGGGAGTTTTATTTTTAATAATATAATTTTTCCCCCCCTTGTCTAATGTTGAGTCAGATCCAGCTGGCACAGGAGGAAATTGCCCCTCCTTCTCCAACAGAGCATCAGGTGGATTTGAACCACACACCTTCAGGAGTGCAGTTCAGCTTCCTGCCACTGGGCCACCAGAGCACCCGTGGAGCCTACTTTTAGTGCACTTAGAAATATTTTGCTTCCTAGGAATTGTTTTGTTTACAACTTTGGTGGTTTCTGGAGCACAAAAAATAAGAGGGTAAAATAATGAGATGAACCTTTTTTCTTTTTAAATTATTACCCCTGTAATTTAAGTGATATATTAAAAGGTAAATTGTTATTTTTTGCATTGAGTCTACACTGACCCCTAGCTGACTCCTCAGTGGGTTTTCAGAGGCAGTTAATCACACGGGAGGAGATTGTCCATCCCTCTCCTGTGGAGTGGCTGGTAGATTCGAACTATGTGCCTCTGAGATTGCAGTGCAGCTTCTTACCACTAGGCGTCAGAGCTCGCTGATTAAAATATAGGAAATACTTCATCTTAAGTCTCTGGTTTCCCCCCTTTCCTCCTTTTTTTCAGTTATGGGAAGATAAGGAAGGGAAAAAGAAGATGAACAAGAACAACGCCAAGGCCCTGAGCACCTTACGCCAGAAGATCCGAAAATACAACCGAGATTTTGAGTCCCATATCACAAGTTACAAGCAGGTGGGGATGCTGGAGGCAGATTATTGTGGGATAGTGACTCCGTGACTAAGACTCAGAAAATGTTTGCAAATGGGAGGTGTGATTGGAGACAGAGTCATGACAGAGGTGTCTGGGTCTGAAGGGCGGGACATTGGCCAGCAAGCAGACATCTCCTCTAATTATTCTTTTCCAATGTCCAGAATCCTGAACAGTCTGCCGATGAGGATGCTGAGAAGAATGAAGAAGATTCAGAAGGTGAGAGTGAGCCGGATGGCGTATGGTTAGGAAATCCACAGCTAAGGTTTTGCTTGGCCTGATTTTGTCAGTACCCTCCACCCTTGCTCTTCTGTTTTTTACTTTTCTCTTTGTACCACTAGGATCTTCTGACGAGGATGAGGATGAGGAGGGAATCAGTGCTGCAGCCTTCCTGAAGAAGAAGTCAGAAGCCCCTTCTAGTGACAGTCGAAAGTTTATCAAAAAGGTAGAGGTAAGAGCCAGGGTTAGACAGAGAGGCTCTGCCTGCCAGAGACTGTTAGAAGGAAATGGCCTGAGAACATCAGGATTGGGAGAGATGAGTTTTCATGAGATCTGGTTTGAGAAAAGACTCCCTGTTTTATTAGAACACTAATCCGTTTGAAATCCAGAGCGAGCAGTAGATTCTAAATCCACTCTGTTCTTTGGGAGCAGCGTGTTCTTAGAGCTTAAATAATCACTTCTCACTCAATCTTGGTATTTCATTTCAGCATTTACCGTCCTCATTACTTGAATCACTCCTTGAAACGTGTTAGACTAGTCAGTCACCGTGTTTTCCTGCTGCTGTTTGGTTTATCTCTCAGGATGAAGATGAGGACTCAGAGGATTCAGATGATGAAGAAGAGTGGGACACGGATTCTACATCATCTAGTTCAGACTCTGAGGAGGAAGAGGGCAAACAGGCTGCACCAGCCTCAAGATTTCTTAAAAAGTAAGAAGACTGGTGAGACCCAGCTCTGTAGGCAGTAGAAAGGGTGGTTGGCCTGGGTACTGTTGGCTTGCTCTGATTCAGCGACCGGAGGCAGAACCAAGCACTGCCCCGTGCCCCGCCACCCTCTCAGTCTTTACTGTTCTAACCGTCCTGCGTTACTCCTTCTCATTGAGAATCTGCTTTTTCTTAGACTCTCCACTTTTGCAAACATGATGTCCCTTTGTAAGGACGTAACCTCTCCTGAGAACATGTCCAGAGTGTGGGAGGTGAATTATTCTCATCTTGCATTTGAGGAGCATACTGGCTATGCTGCTTTTTAAAATTTTATTTATTTTTTTTATTTAAGTAGCATTCCGTTTATTACAAATATTTAGTGTTGGCTTCCCATATTTCCCCCTTTTGTTTTTATCATAATTATGTTATCATCTAGATGAGCATTGCTGCTTTTAACACGCATTTGTTTGTTCTTTTGGCAGTCCATGGTGCGTTGAGTGCCCTTTGCCAGCACTACAATTCAAACACATTGATTGTTCACTCTTCCTGATTTCATTGTCCAGTTGCCACATGCATGAGAGACAGTTGAAAATACCATGGTTTGCCTCAGGTTGTTGTTTGTGCCGTTAAGTCACCTTGACAAATAATGACCCTGTGAACAACAGACTGGAAACTTGCTCTGTCGTGTGCCAGCCTCCTTCTCTCTGATATCCATGAGCCTGTTGATAACAGTCCCTGTGTCAGGCCGTATTGTTGAGGGGTCAGGCCAGGAGACCCATAACCATCTTGAGAGATGTTACTTCTGCTCTGGCGTCTTGTTAGGTTGTAGAGATCAACTGCTCCCATTTTACAGGCTCTCAGAGATGGAGTAATTTATTAGCAAAAATCACAAAACAAATGTGCCTGGAGATAAGATGCAGAGGCTTCACAACTTACAATTTAACTATGACTGCAATTATTGTTACAGATCTCACCCTGGTGGCTCTTAGCTCTGTGGTACTGGGCTAGTTACTTAACCTTTCTTCAGATTTCTTTTTTTTTTTTTTAATTCAGATATCTTATCTGTAAAATAGCCCAGTAATGTAGCCTGCCTCTGAAGAGTGTTTTAGACATTTCAGTGATGGTTTACAATAATTTTAGATTTGAATTTGAGAAGAATATAAATTCTAACTTGTCACCAAACCTGTTGCGTGCCATACAGTGGGAACCGACCCAGAGCTGACCCTTGGGTGTGTTTTCAGAGGCAGTGATCACACACGAGATTGCCTGTCCATTTCCTGCCCAGACCTGTTTCTGTTGTATAAATTTAATGAATTTGAACTACAGCTGAATGCTTAACCTCTGCACCCGACAGCTTCTTATATTTTGTTACTTAAGTATTAACATCTAGGGGTAGTTTCCGGCAACAATAGGTGATCTAAGATCTTTGAGATCTTTGATATGCTTTTCTCCTCATGGGGACATTTTTCTGTATTGCACCCTTTTAAGAAACTTAAGCGTTTTGATTAATGAATTGTCATGAGAGGGAAAAAAAGCAACACAATCTGGGAACAATGGGTTTTTTTTTTATACAATTTGTTGTTAGTTTTGGGTTTTTTCCCTCCATTTATTGATTAATTGGTGACTGGTAAAAAGGTCAGTCTGGACAGGCTAACTAGTGTCAACAAAAACCAATTTTCAGTTGTTTATGGATTCCCTAAAAAACGTTGGGGCTAATGGTGGAGCAAAGTGCTAGAGTTGCTTTTGTGTCAACTGTAACCTGGTTTGCACCTCTTCCCAGAAAATCTAATTACGTTACTCTATTCATAATAATAACTTACTGGGCATAATGGAGTAAGTAGCCCAGCACATTCAGGTACTTTCTGTTGTTGCTATGATTGAGTCAGAACCAACCCATAGATGACCCTCCAGCACATTTTGAGAGGCTGTTTAATTACATGGAAGGAGATTGCCCATCTTTGTCCCACAGAGCAGTTGGTGGATTTGAACTGCATGCTTTTGAGATTGAAGCACATCTCCTTACCTCTAGGCCACCAGAATTCCTTAAGGTTAACTTCGATTTCCGGCTTATCCTTGTAGAGTGTAACTTGGACCATGGGTTTAGAGAGTGAAAGAGGCCTTCTCTGGACATGGAGCCTGGTCTTTATCTTCTGCTGTGTCTCCTTCCAGGGCTCCCACCACAGAGGAAGACAAGAAGGCAGCGGAGAAGAAGCGAGAGGACAAAGCTAAGAAGAAGCACGATAGGAAATCGAAGCGCTTGGATGAGGAGGAGGAGGACAATGAAGGCGGGGAGTGGGAGCGGGTCCGAGGTGGAATGCCCCTGGTTAAGGTGAGGACTCCAGGGTGGGAACGGATTGGGAGAGCATACAGGTGTCCTAGTCGAGTTGGGAGAAAATTTCTGACAAGGAGAGCATCCTATTGGTCTATACATGATGTGATGTTTTGCCTAGGAAAAGCCAAAAATGTTTGCCAAGGGAACTGAGATCACCCACGCCGTTGTCATCAAGAAACTGAATGAGATCCTGCAGGCGCGAGGCAAGAAGGGGACTGATCGGTGAGATTTGTGATCTGTGCTATGGGATAACAGAGTGAAAGCTCTCCTTGTTAAGACACATGGTAGAGATTGTTGGGACAGTGGTCTTGGCTTTGGAAGGGTTTGTATGTAGCTATAGTAGAAGTTTCTATAACTGGTCTAGTTTCTGCCATTGACTCTTTATTGTTACTTGGCACGGTTGACTCACCCTTTTGAGGTTGACTTGACTTCCCCACCTCACTCACTGTTGTGACCCTGCTCCTCCAGGGCAGCCCAGATTGAGCTGCTACAGTTGCTGGTTCAGATTGCTTCAGAAAATAACCTGGGCGAGGGTATTGCTGTAAAGATCAAGTTCAATATCATCGCCTCTCTCTATGACTACAACCCCAATCTGGCCACATACATGAAGGTGAGAGAGATGAGTCAGAGCTCCTGAGGGCTATATTGGGTGGGTTAAGGGAAGAGTCTTAGTCTCTTAAAAGTGGGGGCCTGTGGACATAGTCTTCGTAGTTGAAGGCTCATGGATTCCTGGTAAAGAGACTCTTGGGAAGCTTTGGCAAATTTTTCTTTCTCACACCTCTAACTGTTGTCTGAATTCTTTGTCAGCCGGAGATGTGGCAGAAGTGCCTGGATTGCATCAATGAGCTGATGAACATCCTATTTGCAAACCCCAACATCTTTATTGGGGAGAACATTCTGGAAGAAAGTGAGAACCTGAGCAATCTTGACCAGGTAAAGGGAACAGTTGGCTGGATAATTGGAAATGTGTGTTTTCTACTTTAGGAAGACTTCAGTGCACTGACCAGTTGAGGCCTGGGTTAGTTTTTTATTCCTCTCTGGCTTTTCTCTCCAGCCATTGAGAGTCCGTGGCTGTATCCTAACTCTGGTAGAACGAATGGATGAAGAATTTACCAAGATAATGCAAAACACTGATCCTCACTCCCAAGGTGAGCGGAGTGAGGGGGACTTTGGTGAGGGGAGGTACAGACTGATGCTAACCCTAGGGTGTTTTATAAGGACGGTTCTCAGTGAGCATGTTTGGAAAAAGCAAGCTTTTAACTTCAGCCCTCATACTGCAGGACTTGGTAAGATGCCACGTGCTGGGCTCCATGACCATAGATTCAGTAGGTATTAGTGGGGCCTGAGATTGTCCATTTCTTATGTATTCCCAGGTGATTGTACTGATGTGGGGACCACATGTTTGAGAACCCCTGGAGTAAGGCATCTAATCCTTGGCTTGCTGAGTCTCGATTTAGAGGCGTTGGAATGGGAGAGGATAGGATAGTTACTAAGTAAAAATGTGGGTGCTTAATGTGCTTCCTCAGTCAAGGTCATGGTGATGAGCAAGGCAGCCGAAGGGCTTCATGCTAATGGAGCTTACAGTTTGTGGCTAGATAAAGGCAACAAGTGACTAAACTGTAATTCTAGATAATGTGAAGTGCTAATTAGAAATTAAAGTAGAGAAACTAGAGTCAAGGGTGCTTTAGGTAACAGTTAAGGAAAGCTTCTTTGAGTGAGGGCTGTTTAAGGTGAGATTACATGATGAGAAGAGGTTAAGTAGAGGAACAGAAAGTAAACTCATCACCCCCCCCCCAGAGGAATAAAAGGGCCCTATGGGCAGAACTCTGAGATGGATTAACTCAGTGACTGGGATAATGGGGTCAGGTGTTTCAGGAGACAGTGAAGTTGGTTCAGGATGAAGCAGGGTTCAGAGCTGTTGTACGTAGGGTCGCTGTGAGTCACAGGCAACTCAATGGCACCTAACAACGTGGGTGGACCAGTAGAGAAGGGAGAATGCTGGGAGGTGAGTCAAGGGTGGAAGCCTTCAGCCCTTCTGGCTGACTGAGGAGCTGGGATTTTTCTCTTTAGTGGTGAGATGGGAGGGTCATGATCTTTTCAAGGCACAGTGAGTAGACTTCTGGCTGACCCAGAAGACACCTGTGTGGAGGTAACGGGGTGGATTGGTGGGGACAGATGGTCGGGGTGGAAGCCGAGTAGCCTGGCTGAGCAACTGGCGCTGTGCTCCCCAACAGAGTACGTGGAGCATCTCAAGGACGAGGCCCAGGTGTGTGCCATCATTGAGCGGGTGCAGCGCTACCTGGAGGAGAAGGGCACGACCGAGGAGA